AACATTGTGAAGACATGTCTTCTTGCCACCCACAAAATGCTTTGAACAAACTCTGTGATGGTTGTTTGGTGTAAAATTAGCTCGTCCGATCCAATGCAACCACATCTTTCTGAGCTTTTTGTCAGTTGGAATTTGGTAATATGAGAGTTCTGGATTTCTTTTAGTGTTGCTACTACATGTTGGAATACAGCAAGTTGTTCCACCTCCTTTATATTTTCTTTTAGAACATGCATTTTCTGTGTTGCTTTTATCTGCCTCCAATGAAGTACCCGGCTCAATATCCATCAAAAAAATTATATTATTTAAACCTATACCTTAATTATTTATTTTACTATTTACAAATTTAATCCTTAGGGCCTGCCTGAAGATTAAAATACCTAAATTTACTATAACTAAATTTTAAAAATTGACTATTTTATATTCTACTACCTTAAATGCAAATTTAAAACGGTTTTTCCTACGCTAATATAACTACGAATTTAATATATTTTAAGCCTAATATTTTAATACTAAAAACCTACTTGTTTATTTTGACAGGAAATAAACCGACCACAACAAAGGAAGCAGAAAAATAAGCGACAACAGAGGCAAAATGATTTCTCTTTGGCGTTTTTACAAAGTAACGGAGCTGGGGCAGAAAAAAACGGTTTGAACTGCTTTTAGTTCGCGCCAAAACATTTTAAGGTCTCTTTAAAACATTGTGTTTGAGCGCCATGCTATTCGAACGATCGACAGACATTTTGTCATGAATTAGTCGATTTCAACAAGCGAAAAAATCGGCAGGAAACACTCGATCGTTGTCAAAATACGATACATACATCAAGAAACAACACACACAAATTTGTAGGTTAAAATGGTGAGCTATCCGATGTTTACTAAGCGCGCTCACCTTAAAACGTTGGGAAGGCCCTTCCTCTTGGAACGTATTTATGAGCACACTGCTCGCTCCTCAGTTCTTCTACAGGAATTTTCTCCTCCATTTTCGGTTCGATTTCGCTGTACTTGAGTCAAAACAAACTTTATAGCATTACAAAGTTCTCCCTTGTTTTAAAATTTTCAAACGTTACGAAAAAAGTGATAAAAATAAACTATATTTTTCACATGCAAAATGCTCGCTCCATGGCGGTCATTTCGCGCGAAAGTGAAGGTTACCATTTTTCCCATGATGCTTTGGTAACATGCAAGTTGCCTATTGTTTACTGACTAATTTCTTAAAAAATTTCGCGGTATGTGAAATAACTGAAAGTGGTTGCGCATGACAATTTTCTCATGAGGTTCTATTTTCTTAGTTATATGCTGAGATAACTTTTGCAAATATCAAGAAATATAGAAATGTTCCTCACCTGAAGGATAAATTAAAAATTTTCCATGGAAAACCTACTTATTGTCTCATTCTAAATCACCTTCCAGCTTTATTTGCTTGGCTGAGGTTTTGACGTGCAGCAGCCATATGTGACCATTAGCATGTAGCATCCGTGGGCCGGTTGTTCAAAAGTGGATTAGCGCTAACCCTAGATAAAATTATATATTTCTGCACGTTTGTTTATTTCAAAACTTCAGAGAAGTAATAAGAAATATCTCCAAATTTAATTATAGACAAGCTGTCAGGAAATTTGCTTTGAATTTTAGCTTAACCTGGGGTTAAGCTAACCCACCTTTGAACAACAGTCCCCTGGTCAACTTATCAATTCCAGGCCTCTTAGGAGAATTCCTTACGCTTGTAGCTAAATAACAAAACGTTTACATTTCCTCCACAGGCTTTATGGCTGATAAATATCTTAAAAGACGAGAAAGACGAATGGCAGAGCATAATCAACCGGTTCTCAATCGGAATGTAAATGTTAACCAGCAATACAACGGAAGATATTAGAAAGAAAATCTGGATGATTATATGTTATGATATAGCACTTTTGAATTCTGAGCGCTGATTGGCTAAAAGTCGTGTTGACGTAACTTAATATCAACATGGAAAATTTCACGGAGCTCTTAAAGTTTCTTCAATTAATATTGTCCGGATCCTTTATACTTCTTGTACTATCTTGTAAAAAATAGGAAATATTTTCTGTGTTGATATTCAGTTATAACAACACTCGTGAAAATTGGAAAAAACTCAATAACAGCATACTAAGAAATACTCCGACAGGTGCATATATCAAGCGAGAATATACAACAGTATGTTTTATTTAACGCCCGGAGAGCGGAGTGTTTCCACACAATTTCTCGTTTTCCAATTTCCACTCGTGTTGATATAACCTTCTCCTTTTTCTAGGTGCGTAATATAGCAGCAGAGTTAACTAAATATAGCTAATATTTTTTTTCCTAAAATGTTTTGCCAATGCATTAGGTTTATTACGTAATAATTGTGCAGTATATTTGAAAGTAAACTTGCCATAATTAGTTCTATAGTTACTTGAGTTCTACAAATATTTAGTTTAAATGCAAGTCTTGTGTTGTATAATACGTAGTAAGCGAACAGGGTTATTAAGAAAGTCAGAAAATGCCATGCAGCGTCGGAATCATGATCACTAAATTTAAGTAGAAGCAAAAATTGCAGTTTTTCATTTGATGACATTTTCTAGCTTAAGCATGATTCTGAGGATATTACATCTCTCATTTACTAAATGGTGATAGTATTGCATAGCTTAGTCATCCATAACTTAGCGCAGCTGCGAACACTCTCTCTGGTGACTGAAAAGACTAATTCTCGATCGGCACGGCTACACAGTAAAGCTTGATTCCATGCCAGGTACGTGCTGATGTTGCTGCCTTGGCAGCAGCTTTCCTCTTCGCCCTCTTTGCTTCAGCTTGGACATTGAGTTTTTTCTCTCCTGGTCGAAGAGCCTGGCTACACGTCTTCTTCCACTCGCTACAGTTTTCCGCAAGTGGTTCCTATAGTTGTCGGGAGGTAGACCAGTGGCGGGCATGTCTGTCTTGCAGACGTCGACCCTGAATGGAAGCGTAGGTCTGCCAACAGGCCTCGACCAAGTTCTAGCTCCCCATACAATATCTTCTTGGGGATTCGGGCATCGTCCATTCGGCAAGGAAAACTATTTTACAGTTTTCCTAATGTCGCAGGGCCTTTTTTAAGGATTTTCCCGTGGGGGGGGGGGCATTTTTTGAAAAGGGACCTTTCCGCGAGATAATATATTACAGGGAAATAGCAATGGCTGAAGGCCACGTGTGCGCCGAACATACCATGGGGCACAAGGGGGGACTGGGGGGGAAAATGCCCCCCCCAGCTTGTATGTTAAAAAGGCCCTGTAATGTCGTCGTCCGTATCACTTCAATTTGCGAAGAATTTCATGAGCCAAACTCAAAGCCTATTGAAACCAGATGATGTGTTTTGTAATATGACCCTCTGTTAGTTCGAGGACTGAAATGTCAGGGGGAAGGCACGTTTGTGAGATCATAACAAATCATGTGCTTGATGTACCATATAATCTTTGGAATTCTGCAAAATCTCAATGCCAAAACGCTTGAAATCGCATTTCAGAGAATGCCTCACGCCTTCGACGTTGGACTTATGTTTGAAAAATCATAGATCCGCCCCTGGTAGATTCATCTTATAATTAACAGTGTCCAGCTTTGAATAGTAGTGTAAGTCTATTCGTGAATTTTAGTGACATCAAAGTTTTACATGTAACTTTCTAAAATTTGTCTTTGAAAACGCTTATTTGGCCGTTGATGACGGCAGAACCAACCGAGCATAGTCGCTTCGCGTTTACTCCTTTATCTCCTCCACTTTTATCCTTTTTCCTTTCCGTATTTTAACTCTATATCCACTTCGTGTTTTATCCTCCATATCTGTTCCGTCCGCCCGCTCCACGCCGAATCCGCATTTGCTAAAAATGAAATCCTGATTGTGGGTAGACTCTATAGCTGGCATCGTAGATAAAGTAAATGAAGTTCATAAATGGTCAAATGATAACAAGTTTCAACTTAACCTTGGTAAATGCAAAGAGCTAAGGATAAACTTTACTACCCAACCATTTACGCGAATGAACCCCTAAATATAAACGGGGAGGCATTTGAAGTGGCAAAATCCACGAAAGTCCTTTGCATGACACTTACCAGTGATTTAAAATGAAACAAGCATGTAAGCAATATCGTGGAAAGGCTTCTAAACAACTTTATTAATTAATTAAAAGCAATTAAACTCACTGAAGTGGAAACTAGCTCCTTATATAAGTTCTATACCGAGTGTATTAGATCAATTGTTGAGTACGCTTGTCAAGTTTTTCATTCAAGTCATCCGAACTGCCTGTCAAGCGAAATTGAAAGTATCCAGGAACGAGATTAGGGATTATTAACGCTGATTTGGCGTATATCGAAGCAATAAAACAGGCAAAGTTGGAGACATTAGACGAAAGAAGAGAAAAGCTGTATATAAACCTATTTTCATCTATCGAAGCAAATAATGTTCATTGATAAGAAATTAAAGGAACTAATGCCTCGAAATAATTCAGTGATAATTAATTTCAGAACAAACAGAAAATATAATCTTCCCATTAATTTAAGATGCGTACGAACAGATTTAGTAATTCCTTAAATATTTCTTATTGCGCTCGTAAGTCATTTCAAATTGTAGATAAGTTTTAGAATAATTAAATTCTCAAATATTTAGCAATTAACATTGCTTTAGATTTTGGACAATTTATTAATTACAATAATCGTTGTATAATATATTCTGTGCATGCAAATATAAGAAATATATATTTTCATAAAATCAATGATAATTTAGTTTTGGCGACAGTAATTATTGATTCAATGAAACGTTCTATCTATATCCATCTTCTATCATCTTCGCAGCTAATATTCAATCAGTTCGGCGATAAACTTGCCCCCACACACGTCATATCCGTTTGTTCTTTTGCATAAATGTCAAAACGGGAAAAGCCACAATAGAAAAATAATTTCAACCGACACTAGGCACAATTCTCAATTTTCGTGGGGTCGTTGGTTAAAGGGACCCTACAGTCATTTTTTAGTCGAAAAGCCACGTTAAGTAGGGGACTCCACGGCGATTCGTGTGGCTGTATTTTACATGCAGTATCCATGAGTATGAGTACTTCGGCAAACCGGAAGACGCATGCATGCTGTGGTGCGCATGTCAAGTAACGACAATAACAAAATGTAAACAATACTTACTTGACTAAAAAATGACTGTAGGGCCCCTTTAATGTAATTAATAGAATATCAAACTTGTGCAAATTTTCTGTATTCAACTATATGGCATAGACCTATACTCGAATCATTGCATGTGACTTTCATAATGATTTTCCATCATTCGTATACGTATGGTAGATTATATGGAAGCTTATACACTGTTCACGTATTATAGTCTTTGTAAAATGTGGTTATACAGAAGAATTCTAGTGCAGAGACCGATTCTAGTAGTCTACCTATCGCATATACAGTTGAATAGCTTAATTATCCAAAGAGTTTAGCAAAAACACACATATTGTAAGTATAACTAAGAAATTGTCTAAGCTAAGGTGTCGTTGTATATAGTCCAACTCCAATGTTTATATCCCATTCATTTAGCGTTTCCTTCGATCATTTTCTTTGCGATCTTGCAGTTGATAAGCATGATCTGAATATGTAGTTTTAGTAGAGTGGGCGACAGTAGACAGTGTGAAACTCATTTGATCACATGGCTGATCTGTAAACTATTGGACAACATAACGAATCTACGAATAATCCATGCACTCCTACGAATCTACCGAATCTGTTGGATAATTAATCCACTACCACGAATTTAGACTGAGATGTTAGAATTGTGTTCTAACGGTTTCTCGTTATTCATGGGGGTTGGGGAAGGACTCGTATTGGCTACATGATAAATAACTAATGACGTCATGTTAATATGGTCGTCTTGAGAGAAGCTTTCCACCTAAAGTACATGGATCCGGAGTCTAGGACGTAAACTGAATTGTTTGTTGTATTAAAAATAACTGAAAATTGAGTGAATCCATTGTAATTATTGTCGACTATTTGAGGCGACCAATTGCCCATCACGAAAACGCTCGAGGAACTTCTACATTTAATTTCAAGCATCTCATATTAGATATAGCCATGATTTGAATATGTAGTTTTAGTAGAACAGACGACAGTAGACTACAGTTTAAGTTTAATTTATGCAAAAGCATAAGCGGATAAGACGTGTCCGGGGGAAGCTTTTCTCCGAATGTGCACGGTTTCTGTGACGGAAGCTAGATTGTATTAAAAATAATTAGAAGAAAAGACAGGGTCTATTATAGGGGGTTGGTCGCTCTGCAAACCGTCCTATTTTTGTCTCTTTCACCATTAATCGCCCGTATTTTCTTCGTAAAAACCGTAACCGTCATTTTTCTTATGCAGGAAAAGTTTATCGGCCAGGGATCGTTGGATCGATGAGAGGACAAAGATGGCAGATTTTCGTTGACTAACTGCATGATATATATCCAGGAATCTTGCCAACGGCTGCTGTAGTTGGGATGTGAAAACATTTTACCTGAACAGGAATTTAATGTTAAAATGTTACCTTCTGAATGTATTCATCATGTCCCTGTGCAGCGACTCGCATGTTTTGTACCATGGCACTGGACACTTCTAAAATGTTTATTTAACTGCAAAGACTTGTTAGGTGTTTTCACTTATGACAAAGAGCTAATTGCCTAATTGTATTGTGAGCTTTCATAAACATCTACATGTATGGCTGGAGTTGAAAAGCCATTTTGTGTTGTATTCCAACAACTATTTTTAAATTTTCTTTATACAAATGATGGCCCATGTATCAGTGTGGGTTACTGTAATGTACAAACTATATGTACAAGCTTGGGACATGCTGTGGTTGGTTAAAATAATCAATCTATATTCTGAATAGAAAATGAAAAAACTTGCAATTTTGTTTCCATTAAGCTGTTGTCTACTGAGGCGAACGCTGTCTCAGAAATCAATGAGGGTTTTCTCTAAAATCAAATTTTAAATTCCAAGGGAAAATAATGATTTTCACTTCATGAATGGCTGAAAATTTATTTTTCTATAATTCATACACTTATTAATTCATAAGGTTTTTGGCAAATCATGTCAACCATAATATGTTACATTGAATGGTTTCATAATCATCAGATAAAACTAAACATCATTCTACATTCTACATTCTCTACATACAAACATGATGCATGCTATCTGGGAGTAGGGATAGATCCTGCCAGATCTGGTAAGGTATGTGTGTGCTCATTGATCCATGGTCATGATTTGAAGTGTAACCTGTTGGCCAAGTTCATAATCATTTGAAGCTATGCACAGTCAATGTTCTGTAGAATTGGCAAGTTTTCAACGAACTTGAGAACCGCGCGTTGAAAAGTGATACGAAATCGACAATAAGATGGCAAATAACTAAATCAGTTTTACGAAATAGTACGTCGTTTTCGAAAATAACCAGGCTATAAACTATAAAGTATAGACTAAGTTGAGGAAAAAGAACTTTGTTTGAAAGCTTAGAATAGAGGAAGGAGAGCGGAATTGATGTTTCAAGTACTAAACAAAGTAACCGGCGGTAAACCTCGTGCCACCCACGTTGACTATTTAGTGAACGACCTTGAGCGTATTCAAAGGAGGAAGTTTACGTATTATTGGTTTACCGGTTGATACACTTCCCCCGTTTAGTGAGAGAAGAGATATGCTAACTCTTCGAGAAATGGAGGCAATTACTCAGGACGTAAATCATCCCTGTCACCACCTTGTCCCTATCGCACAGAAGCATAACTATTCCACTATAGAACTAACGAAAAAGATTCTAATGCAGGTCGCATTATTTCCAGAACCGAAAGACATAAATCATCGTTTATGCCTCGTGCAGATGGTTTTTGTAATATAGATGACAATTGTAATATAGATAGGTTTATAATGTTTATGAATTTGTAAGTCCACTGTATTTTTTTACTTTATGTGGATTATTATTAAAGCTTTAAATCACCCGCCGGAGCTTCGGCGGCCGGCGGATTATTTTGAAAGCCCTGTCTACTACCCTTTGGACATTAGAGTAAACAATGACCATCACGGGGATCTACTACCCCTTGGATATTTAGGATGCCCATCTCGGGGATCTACTACCCCTTGGGTAAAGTCCAACATGCATGGGGGAACCACGACTCCCTGCTTGAGGACATATAATTAAATCATAATCATATTGCTGTAATAGTGAGTCTGTGGGGCGACACTTTGACCACAGATTAAAGTATAATCGGAGCATTTCTCCTCGACAACCCTTCTCCCACAACATTGTGTGTGTCATAGTTGTTTTCTTAATGTGCTACTGCAGCGAATTTTTCGACCCTGATTTTTTAGCTTAATTAAAAGTGCTTTCCTTCCTGACCTGTTTACCACAAGCAGAATTGAAATTGGTCAGTTCAAACCGATTTTATAGCCGTCCAAAGTGGCCATTTTTGGCACTTCCTGTGCGAACTTTTGATCGACCATGTTGATGCCATGTGCCGTCGTAAGATGAACACGATTTCATCATGGCGTATTAAAATTATAGTAAAACCAACAAACGCGGATACGAAGGCCGTGTTTCTGGCAGTTCTAACTTAGATTATTTCACGAATTCTGAACAGCCTAAAGGAATACCCATGCATCTATTTCCCAACAAAGAAACAGATCCACAGAGTGAAAGAAAGTCAGTGAATTTTATCCGTAAACATTGACCGCGGGTTTTAATTTCACCCGTTTTGAAGATTCGTGCTATATCTTATTTTCATTGACAAAACCTCGTAAATGGAAAGAATACAGAAGGAAGAAACTGTTTATACAATTTACATGGCTACAATTGTTCCCCTGGCTAAAATACAACAAACGCAAGGCAAATGATTCAGGTATATACTTTATAGTGAAGAAGTACAAATTAATATGTTCGCACACATGGTGAATATTTTGCGCAAATGATGCTATATAGTTAGTCTAAAGTGTTTAACGTTTTTTATGTTTTAGATGATTTGTGGTTGTAAAAAGACTATCTCTTGTTAAGTTAGTTTCTTGTCCAGAGCATCTTGAGATTGAAATAAAGACAACAATTCAGCATGTCATGCCTTCACCTAGTTTCGTCAAGACTTCTGATGACATTTTGAGAGGAACGATGCCATTGGAGTTATATTCAGTCATATCAATAATACATATTGCATAGTATAAAGTAACAATAAATATAATAATACAATACTATAATATTGTACTGGTACACTATTATGTAACTGAGAAATACATTTGTGCACAAAACATGAGGGATGCAACTTAACTGGTTACTTTGAAAATTAATATAATTTCAAAATATTACAATAAATGTGATATTGCACAGTGGCTCATTCACAATCTGCCTAATCCAACTAAAGTCGACCGCTTTTCTGCTCAAACGTAAGGCAGCTGTGCCTTTGTTATTGGAAATTATTTTCTTCTGTTTTCTCATCCAAGTAAAACTATATAGTCATCAATAGAACCACAGCCCGTATTAAATTGCCAATTACACCTATCGCTATCTATTAAAAATCAAATCAAAATTATTTTGAGTATTGCGAATTATTAGACTATGAATATGCTTGCGTTTATAAACGTTATTATATTTTTTTGTCACAGACAATCCAGTTTATAATAAATATTATAAAGTTACATACACTAGATGTGTTCAAACAAATCAAACACAATACCGAGGCGAGCACAATACA